TTGACGAGCCTTCCCCTCGATCCTCCTTCTCTCCGCTCTCCTCGCTGCTCTCCGGTCGTTCTCCGACCTTGTCGTCGCGTTTCCCAGCACTGGCCAAGCCTCCTGATCCTGCAGCTAACGCCCCCTCCTCGCTGCTGGTGTGCGGCCTGTCCGTCGACCATCAGCTACCATCGCGTCTTCGCTTACAAGCATCCTGTGCAGGAGCAGGGAAAGGCAGGAGAGCTCTCGAGGGTGGGGTGGTGTGAGGGGAAAGAAGGGGGTGCATCCTCCTCCCGACAAAGGATGTCGCTACGGACTCACCCCACCCCTGACAGACCCATCACCCCTACCCTCCTGGTCCCAGCACCTTACCCCCTCACTTCCCACATGCCACCACCCACCCACCCCTGCTCCTCCCCGGCCCCTTGCACCGCCCCTTTTCTCAATCGGAAAGATTCTCCAACCCCCACCCCCCACCCCCTCCGCTCACCCCTCCCTACCCCTTCTCCCTTCCATCGCTTTCCCCTTGTCCCTCCCTCCCCCCTCCCTCCGCCCCCTACCTGCCCCCGCCCCCCCTACCGTGATGTCGTAGCCTCGGCTCTCCCCTGCCCGGTCTTGCCCTGGTCTTGTTCCCTGCCCTCGGAGGCTCCTCGCCCTCGACCGGAGGCTCAGTATGCAGGCGTTTGCTGCCCTAGCGCGAGTCGCGTTTGCTTCGCCCTGAGGGAGGTGTCTTGCCGCTGCTGCCTCCTCCTCCGATGCTCCCAGCCGGCGTCTCAAGCTCCGTGCTTACCTTCTGCATGCCTGACGCCCTGCCTGCTTCGCCACAGCGCCAAGCGGAGGCCTTCCCTGGAGGCGTAGGGTCGCCTGCTTGTCGCGAGGGGCGGGGGTGTTTGGTTTGGTTCGAGATTCTAGCTTCCGCCTCCTGCAAAGGACATGCTCCCATGCGCGCGCGTGAGGCGAGGAGAAGGCACTGCTCCTCATGCTTCCTGCATGTCTGTCAGGTCAGGGCAAGAGGAAGCAGGATGCACCAGCAGCCACGGGACGAGGTCAGCCAAGGATGGCTCGACGCCTGCGCGCGTATCGCACACTGAGAGCCACATGGCGGGGGCCACATGCTCCTGCTGCTCGTCGATGAGTGGGATGATGAAGCACATGCTTGCGCGCGGTCAGTCAGAGGCCTCAGTGCCATCATGCTCGGGCGAGTCGTCCCTTTCTCCGCAGGCTTCCAACCCTCTCCATGCCGACGCAAGCAGGAGCACGTCGCCCCTCTCAGCGACATGCTTCCCCACATGTCTGTTCTCGCGCCATTCATACTTCTGATACCTCCAAGCAGCTGTCAGTGGGCGCTTCCATTTGCAGAGTGATCGCAGAGCAGGTGAGCATCTCACAAGAGACACAGGGTGTGAGGCTCATGACTTCATTCCGTTCTTCAATACAACTAGCATAGAATATCTTCCCCTGCCGATCACTCCCGCCGCCTCTCCTCCCCCCCTCCTCCAATGAAGCCTCTCCTGTCGTTTCTTGAGAGTCCCGGAGCCTTGATCCCTATTCCCCTTGCTTCCGCATCCCGAAGCAACAGCCGCCACTCTCTCCCGCATGTCAGTCAGACAAGCTGAGCCCGCAGGTCCTCGGGCTCAAGCGTCCAGCAATCCTAGACTTCAACTCAATCGTACACTATCCTTGCACTGTCCTTGCTCCCCTCGTCTCCGCTCCTGCTCTCTGCCTTTCCATCGACACCTGTTGTTTCCCTCGAAGAGGATCACAAGCCCGGCACACTTCTCCCTTCCTCGCTGAAGCCTCTCATCATCTCTTCCGGTCATCCGGCACACATCACTTTCTCTCGCACTCCCGACCTCAAGCACTCCACGTCTCTCCATGCTATCGAGATGACCATGCGGCCTTGGCTGTCCGACATCGTCGTGCACATCCATGACCTGCCCCAAAGTACACGCTCCTGGGCTTCCTTGTATGTAGATCTCAAATGAAAAAATACTATCGCCTTTCTCCTTTCCCCTTCGCGCTCCCAACAATCACTCGACACTCATCCCAACCAAAACAGCTCCGACACACTCAAGCCTCTCCGCACTGCCTACCATGCGTCAGATATGACAGGAGCTGATCTACGTGCATCCGCAGGGTGTGGCTGCAGCTTCAGACGCTGCTCGCTCTCATACACGGCTGCTCACACTTCTCCTCTACCTCTAAACGCAAACAATTCTCCCCCGCTCCGAGCTTCACGCAACATGGGCATGAGCACAGAGCACATCAGAGGAGGAGGAAGGAGGGTGGAGGCTTGAGCAAGGCATGCAGAGAAGAGTCAGGCGCTCTGTGCTTGAGAGGCAAACAGCCCTCCCACATGTAGCAGCAGCAGCAGCAGCATCAGAGGAGCAGAGCATGCCAAGCAGCGAGTTGCAAGTTGCTGGATCCCCTGTGCAGAATTATGTTCCCCCGCTCTCCACCCCTAGGGGTATATACCTACCCTACTAGAGGTGGTACACATAAAGCGTATGGCCTCACAAGTACGGGTACAGGTACAGGTACCACCCCCACGAGACCGATGGGAGCCGTCTAGCCGAAATGTGCCTCCCTGTGGTCTCCCCGGGGCATATCACGAAAACTTGCCCCCGAGGGCTGCAGGGGTCAGGGGGTCAGACCTCTAGGGTTTTGCATTAGAGCCTCAGTCGAGACTTCGTAGACCTTATTCCCATTTTAGGGTTATGTCCATCTATTTCTCACCCCCACCTACTCTGACATGATGCCTCCGGCGCAATCAGGCACCCTTGCCATGACTCAGAGGAAGGGCGCTTAGGAAATGGAAGGGTCACCACCAGGTGGTGGTGACGGGGGAAGGGAAGGGGGTACTGGCATATCATTGTATGGGGGCCCGGCGAGACGGGGGGGGTGGAAGGCTGTAAGAAACACCGGTGTGTTTGACTGATACACTGGTATATGGGGTAGGGTGAACCACCCGGACCCCGTCATGTGACCACTGGGGTAGGGACCGGTGTGTTCGATACCGAGTTCTCAGAGGTCGTGAAAGGGGTAGGGGGACACCGGTGTGTTTGACTGATAGACTGGTACATGGGGTAGGGTGGACCACCGACCCCATCATGTGACACCGGGGTACTGGATAGTACCGGTATTTTTGATACCAAGTCCTGGTTATGAAGGGGGTAGCCGCTGTGGGCTTCGAGGGGTGGGTCATGGGGAGGGGTCCGAACGGAGGGTTTAAAGGGGGGTGGAGGGGTGGGGTAAAGTTCCAAAACGGAGAGTTGAAAGTTTGAAAGTTGATTTTGATTGGAAAATGATTGCAAAAGTATACGGTTACGACCGTTTCTGATACGTGCAACGGTACGAAACGGGGAGTTTTGATTGGAAAATGATTATTGTTTCAAAAAGTTGATTGGAAAATGATTACTGCAAACTTTCGTTGATTGGAAAATGATTACTCCAAAAATTTGTTGATTGGAAATTGATGATTGCCCGACGGTGACTGTACGGGCCCAGCCGACCGGCGGTCCGCGCGCCCGGCGGCCTGCCGGGCCCACCGGCGGTTATGTGACTGAGTCCGGCCACGCTGACGGTCGGGCCCGGCCCGGCCCGGGGCCCGCCGGGCTGGCCCGGGCGAGGCTGGCCTTCAAGTTACTCAAAGTGAAGTTAAACCAACGCCGGGCCTCAGCCGCTGAGCCGCTCGGAGCCCGCGCGGCACTGACTCCAGGGCCGGAGTCCCGGAGTCCGGGACTCGGACGCCCGGCCCGGCGGAGTCGCCGCGGACCGTGGCTCCGAGTCACTGAAAGCGAGCCTCTCCTCCGACCTTTCTGTAAGGCTCGAGTCTTACCCGTGGCACCGTCACGAGTCAGTCGGACCGTCTCGGTATCGGATCCCGGACGGCGGCTCCGGGAGCCGTCCGACGGGGAGTCCCCGGCCGCGGAGCCTTCCGGCGGGACCGGGCCGGGAGCCTCCGGCGAAGCCTCCGACTCCGGGCTCCGAGGTCCGACTCGTGACGTTCTCGCCGTGTGGCCCAGTGTGGCCCCGGCGGGTGTGCCGCGGTGCAGTGACGGTGCGACCGTTCCGACAGGCACGGTCGGTCAGGGTCAAGCCTCCGGTCCTCGACTCTCCTGATGGTCCTTGTACTGATTCAAGTTTGACTAATTTTGAGTACTACCTAGAAGTTGAACTTGAACAGCCCGCCGCCGGAGTACGGTCGCCACTGCAACAAGGGACGCCCTACCCCCCGAGCCCCGCCTTGTGGGCCCGAACGGTCGCAAAACGACTGGTGGGTCCTCAACTGAAAAGATGCACTTTCGGACGATGTGTCACATGGGAGGGTGGGTAGGGGGCTGCAACAAGGGACGGATCGCATCGGAATGGATTTCCGTGGGGGGCAATTTGTCTTCCTTCATTCTGTCAAAGCCAAAAATATTCGGTATCTCTATTGGGAATGATTCGAGAGTTCTGCCAATATTGACAAAGCGATTTGGTGACCTTGGTATTTCTGTTAGGACCTTTACCGAAATTGTACATTTGGTTCACCTCATTTTCCCGCCTCTAATTGCGATCCCCACAGCAGCTCTCCCCTCCTTCTCCATCTGTCCGACTTGCTCGTTTCGTTTCTTCTCATCATATCTCTCTCTTTCTCCCTCTATATTCCTTGTACTGATTCTCGCCTGCTCCATTCCCAGGGGTTCTGTCCTTCGAAGTTCTTGAAGTTGTCGAAATGACCTCTTACAGTCCGAATTAACAGACCCATCACGTGCTAACTATCCCCATCTTTGAACCAGCAATATCTTGTATTGTCTATTGTATTCATCTTTCCTCGATGAAACCCATCACTTCCTGGAAGGTTTTGCTCATCCAACTGTTGCTTTTGGGACTTTGCAATGATACCTTTGCCTTCGGAAGCAGTTTGTCGATTACGACTGGTTTCCTTCATCCTTCACGTTTGGGTCTGAGAACAAGAAAGGATACGAGATCCGATGCTGCCAAGTTTATGTCTCAGTCGTGTAAGATACTATCTAAGATGAATGTTCCGAACCTGCAAATGATATCTGAAAAACAACACAAGATCGGCATCCAAAACCTTGCCTCGACGATGTTTGCTGTTCAAGATAGAATTCTTACCTTCGGGGTGAGTCAGTCAAGTCAGGAGTCACCAATCGAAGAGTTGAAAGAGCAGTCAGTGCAGTATGAGAATTCAAAGCCATCAAAGACGGTCATTGTAGGTGTTGGTCCTGCTGGGCTCGCCACAGCAATCATGCTTGCAAGGTGACGTTGATCTGATCGCTCTCAACCTTACCTTTCCTGCTCAGACGTGGATGGTCCAACATCACTATCTTTGACAAGCTGCCTCGCCCTCCGCTGTCAGGCTCACAAGAATGGGGAGACCCAGAAAGGTCGTACAACATCGGATTGGACATCAAGGGTCAAAACGCACTCAAGACTCTGGAGGTGTGGGACCGAGTTGAGCAGCATTGTGCTGATGTAAAGGGGAGGATGGACTGGATCCCCGGCAGCAAAAATCCGCAGCGGGTTGATTTCATTCAAAAGTTTGGATACTCGATCAAAGTGATTCAGCGAGACTGTCTGGCGGGTTGCTTGTTGGAAGAGATCCAGGACAAGTATGCTGACAAGATCTCCGTCCATTACAACGTTGAGTGTCAACAAGTGCAATGGAGCAAAAATGGTCATGCTCGGCTGACCATGTTGGACAAGACTTCAGTAGATCGAGGTTCTGAAACTCTGTGATGCCTGACCCGCCATTGCTAACCATTCCTCGTGTACAGGCATCTTTGAGATCGAAACCCCTTTTCTAGTCGGTGCTGATGGAGCCAATTCAGCAGTCCGCAGTAATCTGGTCGAGTCTTCAAAGTTTGACCACGGAGAAGAGGTCGAGTATGTCAAGTATGAAGACGACAACGAAAGAGTCTATAAGACTATCTCCCTCGAGATCCCCGAGAATTTTAGAGACGACCTTGATTATAGTGCAGTCTGCTTGGACGACATCATCATAGATGCATTGCCTCTGAAAGGACGTCGAGCCATCGCAGTAGTTTTGTTTCGGCCCAACAACCAGGTTGATGAAAAAATCGTTGCAGTGTGAAAGGCACTGACCTTGATCTTCAGAAAATTTTACAGGCGAAGACAGGGAAGGAAGTGCATGATCTTTTCGCGAGTTACTTCCCAATGTTCTTGCCCTTCCTCACAGCCGAATCCTGTGACGCGTTTGCGCGCAAGCCAGTCCACAAGCTTCCAACCTTTCAGGTTGATGTTTTCTCTTGACTTGTATGAGCTGACAGGGTTCTATAGCACTGCGGGCCAGTCATCCATAGGAGCAACACTACTGTCATGCTGGGAGATGCCATTCACACAGTCAAGCCCTTCTTTGGCTTTGGAATCAACACTGCTCTCGACGACATCTTCTGGCTCGATCGGTGCCTGGACTCTCCGACCTTGAGACAGAGTCTGGTCCGGTTCTCTGAGAAACGAGGGCACGAGGCTGTTGCTATCGTCGAAATATCTCGGGCCTTGGACCGTCCTGGTCTTACGGGGTTGTGCAACTTCTTCTTGCCGATGCTGCTGGACAAGCTCTTCGAGGACCTGCTTCCTGGCGTGTTCGCCCCGAATCTTCTCACGTACCTGCGTGCTCCGGGAGTGAGGTGAGAGAGGCTATGGGGAGCTGAAGCAAGACTTTGACTGAATGCTCCTGCAGTTTCTGCGAAGCTAGAGTCCGGAAACGGATGGACCATGCTGCACAGTTGTCGTTGGTGACAGCACAGGCGAGAGCCAAGAAGGGAGACGATGACAGAGCCTTATGGATGTGGCAGGTTGCATGGGGAGCCTACGCGGCCAAGACTTATTCTCATCTCCTCGCGCTCAAGTCCCTGACGTCGCATGGATTCATGATGAAGTTTGCTTCGGCTTTCTTTATCTCTATGCAGGTAGCATTGTTTGTTGCGAAACAAACGTTATGACATCTCTGAAGGCCGTTCATACGTGGATGGTGTCGACGACTCTCTGAGGATACAACCGCGTCAGTCTGACGACGCGACGATAACCGACGGGCTGAGAGACTCAAGCCGGGTTAAGTGTGATAATATCTAGCGTGATGGAAGTGTGTTCGATTGTATTTCTAGTAGATGAAGATGAAATAAGTACAATTATTCTACCCACTCCCTTTGTTGGTGCTCCCTTTTCCTGTTACACGTTCCGACATTGAAAACCTTCGAAAGACAACCATCGCTCCTTCTTAGTAGCAAATTTGTTTTAAGTTTTTCCCCCGACATCGTGCCACACATGGAAGGCAATCGAATCTCGATACTTTTACTTCCCTCACCGCTCATATGTTTTCCTTCATATATCTACATATCTACACGAGATAATCTGTGCTGCCAGCTCCCCTCAAGCCTTGTAGCTTCCAAACTCTGCATTCCATGCCAGCAAGTCCTACATTAGGTATCAGCCGTGCAGGAGTACAAGGGCAAGGGGGTTGGGTTGGTGAGGATTGAAGAGAAAGTAGCGCCTTACCTTGAGTAGCTTAGAGGAGACGCTGGGCCGAGTCTTGTCCGCTGCTTCTCTCAGGTCTTGAAGATTGATCCCACGAACTGAAGACTCGTTGACCTGCCGAGGAAGTCAGCTGAGTTCAGCTGGAGGTCAGCTTATGAAGCCCCCTCGTCCCCCCCCCCGTGACATCCCTTTGCTTTCCTCGTTTCCCTCTGCACTTAGAGCTTGCCTCCTACCTTCTCGATCCCTCCCCGCAAGTCGCGGATGGGCCCCATGGCAGCATCCTTGCACATGGCGGTGATGTCGCTGCCGGTGAAGCCTTTAGTGGCTTCGGCTACCAGCTGGAACTCCCGATCGTTCAGACTGACTTTCTGACCCTGCGACAGGACCCGAGGGCCTCAGTGACAGCCTGACCTAGCACGAGACACCTTGAACAGGGACTTGATCAGCTGGAGACGAGCTGGAGTATCCGGGAGGGGATGAAGAGCCGCTTCGTGAAGCGACGGATCACAGCGTCGTCCAATTCCTAGTGCGAGGACGGTCACTGAGTGAGGATGGAATAGGCGAGGGATGTAGTGAAGTGGAGGGGCAGGGGAGGGAGCAAGACCACAGCAAGGCGATGGAGGGGGAGGAAGGTGAAGGAGACGGGACGACAGGATCTTCATACCTGCGGTCTATTGGTAGCCCCGATCACCACAACGCGAGAGTCCTTGCTCTGCGGAGCACAACCGGTTGAGGTAGAGAAGGGAAAACGAAGGAGCAAGAAAAGAATGGGGAAGGAGGGATAGTGGAATGATAAGGAGCAAGGCAGGAGGGCATTGGGAGGAGGAGGCGTGATGCATGCTAGACTGCAGAGGGGCACAAACTTACCGTCCCCAGCCCGTCGAACTGAACGAGAAATTCGGTCTTGAGCCGTCTACACATTGTCGTCATTAGGGGAGAGGGGGGACGGGGGGTTGGGGGGTTGCCTGCTGGAATCTTGCTCCTGAGCTGATCTCGAAGTCAGGAGAGAATCGACTTCGTCCATGAAGATCACACTTGGCTGTGGGGGAACGAGCAGAGCAGGTCAGAAAGTGGCGGGGGGGTGTTGAGAACTCCTGGACCTGCAGCTGGTCCGCCAGCGCAAACAAAGCTCTAACCATCTTCTCGGACTCTCCCACCCACTGCGACTGAGTGAGGCAGACGAAAGCAGCCGAGAACAAGCAGCTGCGGTCACCTTTGATGTCAATGAAGAGGCAGAGAGGTTGAAGAAAGTGCACTTGCACTCCGTTGCAACTGCTTTGGCCTGTACAGACTTGAGCGCAGGGCTTCAAAAGGCTTCTAACCTAAGCCCCTCGCTACATTGTCTCTATCATCATTGACATCCCCTAAAGCTAGTATCGTTTTCTTATTCTCAATCATCGTCATCATCTTCATCGTCATCAACTCCACCCTCGCTATCTCCATCTCATCAGCTACCAGCAAAGTCTTGCCATTGCCTGGAGGCCCAAACAGGAGGATCCCTGCGAAAGAGTGAGAGAGGACGGTGGGTTCCTATTCCGTCACCCCGAGGAGGCGACCGGATGCCAGTGAAGAGGTCAGGACGGAGGGAGGGCAGGATGATCGCTTCCTTGAGCGCTTCCTTCGCCTCCTTCAGACCCGAGATGGTTTCGAACGAAACTCCAGGTGCCTGATCCACGACCTCATCGAGGATGTTCAGCGCCTGCGGGGCCCTCGACAGTCATTTGCTGCCTTCCACAAGGCAGGGGAGGAGCAACCAGCTTTCGGTCGATCCCCTTAAGGCTGCCGATGTTGTACTTGGACTGGGCCTTGTTGCTCGTTGCCGTCGCTCCCTCTGACCCGAGCTTCGGACCTCCCGTTTCCGTTGCCTGCAAGACGGTGAGGCAGGGATGGAGGAGCGAAGTTCCTACGGCTGGCTCTCTCCGCTCCTTGTCCTGCATCGCTCTGCTGCCTCGTCACTCAAATTGCAGGAAGAAGAAGAGGAGGGAGAGGAGGGGTTGGAGGGGGAAGAGTATCACCTGCCGTTCTCGCATCGCTGAACTGATGCATAAGTGCAAGCATCCACAGACCGCTGCTTGCTCACATTTTGCGTTGGCTTAGACGTTTCCCATAACCAACCTAACCAAGATCCAGTCTGCTTATCCGATGATGAAGCAGCTTCAAACCCCTTCGCTCCTGCTCCTGCTCTTGCTCTTGCTCCAGCCGCTGTTGCTGTTGCTGTTGCTGTTGCTGTTCCCACTCCTGCTCCTGCTGCTTTTTCTTGAAGAATCCGCTTCTCACACTCATCGAATCGCTTGCGAGCAAGGGCGATGACGGTTGCAATCTCCTTGTCCTCTTCCTTGGACTTCACTTGGCTTCTGTCATGTCATTCAGCGGTACAAGAACCTTTCAAACTACAACGATGTTGTCTCAGCACCACCATTTCACACATAATCAGTCCATGATGTGCCTCTAACTTCCGTCAAGTTACTATTGGTATCTGCTAGCTAGAGTTCTACAGACTGCTGATTGACAGATTGACGTTTCCAGGGCAGCGGAGGAGAAGAAAAGTAGCGGAAAGGAGCTGGACAACATAGAGCCGTATAGTAGGTACGAGTATACAGGGAGGAGTAGCCTAGGGATGGAAGGAGAGGGAAGGGCGAGCAAACGAGCGCAATCGCCGGCGAAAAAGGTGCAAGGGACACGGAGGAAGAGAGAAAAGGAGAAGGAGTTGGAGCACCTGGCAGCCGTGAGTGCTTTGACTATCCTCGAGTACTCCTCCGCTGCCTTGAGAGGCTCCTTCTCCTCCATCCTCCCAGCTGCTGCTACGGCGACTCGCATTGCCGCCACCGCCATTGTCGGGGGATAAGGGGGATGAGGGGGATGATGGATAATGCGGGGATGAGGGCCAGCATCTATTTTGAGGTATCATGGCTGCGACAACCTGAGCAGGGGGAGGAGGAGAAGCAGCAGGGGGAGGAGGAGAAGCAGAAGGGGGAGGAGCAGGAGGATCATGAAGGCCTCGATGCGGCATGCGCTATGGGGAGGAACGGAATCATGATGGGCATGACGCGGATGTTGCTGCAGGGTTGACGCAGTTCCAAGGCTGTCGACCGAGCTAGCGAGAAGGAGGACAGCACTCCAATACGATGAGCAGCAGCGATAAACGGTCAAGCGCGGAGTATGCGCCGGTTGAGGAAGATGAGGGCGATGGGAACCAGGAGGACACATCGACTCCTTTCTCCCGCTTGTCCCGCCTCTGGGACTGGGACATTGTTTCCCCCAGGCCTCATTTGGGGGCCTCGGCATCAGACGAAGAAGAAAACGAGAAGAAGGCGCTCAAGAAGAGGTCCCACTCAGACTGGGACAACCACATCTCTCTCCTGGACTCCGCTGGAGTTGCGTCAGAGATCGATGCCGTGGGAGGGTTCTACACACACAGGAGCTACCAGTCCCTCCTCGACGACCCCAACCATCTCACCTTCCGCTCGCATGCTTCCAAGGGTGAGGACACAGGCCGAGTCTCGCAGCCCTCGGAGTACTCGAGCATCTACTACACCCCCGATGATCAGGATGCAGACTTTCTCACCGTAGACTGGGCCTACTACGCCGAGAAGGACAGGGAGAGGAAGCGCAAGGTGGAGAAACTGAACCAGGAGCTACCTGAGGGTCAGCAGGTCCTGGCTAGGGCATGGGATGGGCTGCAGACGTGGATCGCCCTGCTGCTAATCGGCTTCTTCACTGGAGCCGTCGCGGCAGTGGTGGGGATAGGGGTGGACCTGTTCACTGACTTGAGGTTCGGGTTCTGCGAGGGGAGGGGGTTCTGGATAAGCAGGGAAATGTGCTGTAAGGAGGTTAGGGTGGGGGCAGCGTGCGAGAACTGGAGGGACTGGCACTCGATGCTGAGCAACGTGAGCAGCGGGGGGAGGAGGTGGATCGAGTTCGGGAGCTACTCGCTCGTATCGGTCCTCCAGGCCTCCTTTGCTGCCTGGTTGTGCGTGACTTTTGCTCCTTATGCGGTAAGGAGAAGTAGAAGTGAAGGGGGGGCGGGGAAGGAAGGGAGGAGAAGGAAGACGATGAGAATGAGGAGGAGGAGGAGGTGGTGGTCGTGGTGGTTTTGCCGCGTTTTCATCGAAATTCTGAGAGTTTGTCGCAGGCAGGAAGCGGGATCAGTGAGATCAAAGTGGTGCTGGGAGGGTTTGTGATCAAGAAGCTTCTCGGGGGTTGGACTCTGATCGTCAAGAGCATGGGCTTGATGCTGGCGGTCGGGGCGGGGATGATGGTGGGCAAGGAAGGACCGTGCGTGCACTTGGGATGCTGCATGGCCAACCTGATCTCTCGTCTATTCTCAAAGTACCGGGGAAATGAGGTTCGAACATGCCCCTCCCCTTGGGTGCTGTGGCCTCTTCCTCCTTCGTCTCTCTTCATCCTTCGTCTCTTCCCCTCTTCTTCCTTCTTCCTCCTCCCTTCCCTCCTTCTTCCCTCCTCCTTCCTCCCCTCCTCCTCAATTCTAATCGTAAGGTCAGGGGAAGAAGCGCGAGCTCATGTCGAGTGCGGCAGCAGCGGGAGTTGCAGTTGCGTTCGGGGCTCCGGTAGGAGGCGTCCTCTTCTCGCTGGAGGAGGTGAGATCCGCTTGCTGACCTCCACCGGGACTGACGAGAGGGCAGGTGTCGAGCTACTTCCCTCCTCACATCATGTGGCGATCAATCTTCTGCGCCATAGTGAGCCGCCCCCTTCCTCTTCCTCCTCCCTTCTCGTTGTCGTTCTCGTCCTTGTCCTCGCACCCTCCCCCTCCCCCCCCTCCCCCTCCCCCCCCTCCCCCTCCTCCTTTTCTCGCCTGTGCTGACTCGAGGGCAGGTGGCAGCCATGAGTCTGAACCAGCTCTATCCTCTTCCCTTCGGAAAGCACGTCATGTTTGAAGTCACCTTCCATCACGAGTGGCAGCTGCTCGAGGTCTCTCCTCCTCCTCCTCCTCCTCCTCCTTGTTTCCCTTCCCTCGTTGGTCCGCTCGCTCTCTTCTTTGCCGTCTTCTTGCATTTAATCCTCCTGCTCCTCCTGCTCCTCCTCCTCCTCCTCCTGCTCCAACATGTTTCCTGATTGAGCTACCAGATCGTTCCCTTCGCTCTTGTTGGAGCTCTTGGCGGGCTGATTGGAGCATTCTTCGTGCGCTGTAATACGCAGATATGTGCAGCACGGAAAACATCAGCGATAAAGAGGTTGGAAGAGAGTTGATATGGTGGTGGTGGTGGTGATGATGATGATGATGATGATGATGATGATGATGATGATGATATCGAGGTGGATGTGCAGGGGTAAAGAGGAGGATATGAGAAGTAGTGGGAGCGAGGAGGGAGAAGGAGGGTTCGAGGATGGAGGAATATGAAGATCTAAACAACAATAGATGAGAGTGCATGTGGAATTTCGATGACGTGAATGCACAGGTGGCCCATCACGGAGACAGCTTTCGTGTGTTTGCTCACAAGCGCCATCGACTATCCTGTTGTCTACTTGCAGGTTATGTTGTTGAATGATACTTTCCGCCTTTCTCATCACTCCTTCTCCTTCATCTCTCCCTCTCCCTCTCCCTCTCCCTCACTCCCTCATCTCATTCGGTTTTCCTTCTGCACTTTGCTCTGATCGAGATCTTTTGTTTCTATCTTCTCACCCTATCTGGCAGGGTAGCAACATTTCTCTGCTCCATACCTTGTTCAGTGACTGTAGGAGAATGTCGGGCGCACATGAAATATGCAGGTATCTATCTCCTCCTCCTCCTCCTCCTCCTCCTAACTCGTTGCTCATTCCTCGTTGCTCGTTCCTTTTCCTCCTCCTTCTCCCCCTCCTGCTCCTGTTTCCTGAACACAATCTGTTGCAGCCTTCCAAATGCCGTCAGCATCGTCATCGCCCTCATGCTCTGTGCTGCTATCAAGCTCATTCTTACACTCTTCACCCTGGGGCTCAAGGTATTAAACAGCTTCCCCCTGCTCCATCTGTCTCCTCCTGCTCCATCTGTCTCCTCCTGCTCCATCTGTCTCCTCCTGCTCCATCTGTCTCCTCCTCACCTCCTCTCTCCTCCTCTTCTTTTCCTCTCTTACTCTGATACTTCCAGATACCCGGCGGAATCTTCGTGCCTTCCCTCACGATTGGTGTGTCGACTCGACCAATCGCCTCTATTCTCCTCCCCGCCCCCCCCCTCCCTCCTCCTC